CTGAACATATTCAGACACCTGTTTGGGACACACTGCCTGAAATAGAAAAAACAACAGCTAAATCATAACGTACCTAATCTGTGGATGTTTCACCTACAGATTAATTAGAAATGTAAATGGAATGTAACAGTCTTATTATGAAAGTCCTGTGTTGATTTTGAAAACGGTCTGTACCACATTGGTTTTAAGAAACCTGTTTCTTGACCACACTGCTGTAATTGGAACTCCCCAAGATATGATTGTTCAGAAGAGATGAAAGTACGTATTTCACAAAAGAGTGTTATGCATACTTGTATTGTGATTTGTTTAAACTGGAACTTAAATGACAAAAAGTATTTTATAAATTATAATTTCATGTGATTTATAATGTTTCATAGTTTTCAGTAATCTAAGACTAATAATATTAATTGCTGAAGCCTTTTCTACAGAATTTGTGAAAAAAGTGTTACTAAAATATTTCTACTGTTGTGAGGGTCATATTATAAAATTCACAGTATTTATGTGGTTATTATAAATAATGTTTAAAAATTCAGGACAGTAAGTGAAATCTACAAGTTGGCGCAGAGGTGGGGTGGCCACATTAGTTTGTTAGTAGTTACACATGTGTATAACTTGTTTTCCTCAACTTTCTTTCAAACCCAGGGGCAGCTAATGGTCTTCCAGTGCCATTGATATACATTCATTCTATTTATAGCTCACAAAACCAGCTTTGTTGACAGGCACTGTAACATAGATACAAGCTTAAAGCAACTTCCTATTAAGTTTGAAACTATTATAGGAATGTATGCCTGCAGAAAAATTTGGCAGAATGCTTAGTTCAAGAAAGACTAGGATATTTATGGGACAAGGTTCAGTACGTTAAGAGATTTGACTAAGAAAAGTAGATTTGGTCTACACCCTTTAAAAATGTTCTCTTGCCCATTTATTTCAGTGACATGTATTTCTGAGCAGGGTACTCTGAATTCTACCCTTACCTTATTCTGCTTTATCAATTGGCAGCAACTACAGCATTAATTGCAGGAGCATGGAAATGATTACAATCTACATACCCCCTTTTAGGATACAAATGCTTCAGAGGCAGTTTGTGTACTGTCAAGATATAGGTACACACTAAGCAGGTCATCTGGTCCCCTCTGTTAGGATAAGATTTGGGGCAGTGGACAGGAAGAAAACAGGACTTCTACTTCAGTCCTTCTCTATCTGCCCCTATTTCTAGTTTTGAATGTTTTAAATTTAGGCACTTTTTACCCTGGTCTAATAACAATGAGTGCTTGTTGATAGTAGAGTTAGAAAATTAGTAGTGTATGATCCAAATATATAACCTGAAACTTAGAACTTCCATTTCGTCCAGAAGGAAAGATCTTTTGCAAGATATGTGACTATTGTGTATTGCTTATCCACCAATTTAGGGATCAAATGGGAATGTAAATACCAATAATGTCAGCTGCTTTTAAAGAATTGGGGTTAAGAACCTGGCACTATGAAATAGCCAAGCTGTTGGCACAGTAATCTTAAGCTGATTTTTACTTCTAAGCTGTTCATTTTTTTTTTCCTGCTAAAGAGGAAGTGTAAGACCAAGCTGTGCCAAAGTGCTTGTCTTAATTAGGGCAGCCGTGAGCAGATGCTAATCTCCCACACAGAGCTTACTAATAACCACAGGATGTTTAAAAACAATCAGAAGCCTACAGTAATATTTTTAATCAGGGCACAAACCAATCTGTCTAAAATTTTATTAAGCATTTTGTCCAAACTATTTTCTCCTATCAACCTTGTGATATGTTACTATTTCCATTTTACAGATAGAGAAGTCAATAACTGCTTTAGTTTGTTAAACAGTACCATCATACATGTAATTTGCCTTCAGTTCAATGGGCCTCACTTTCAGGAAATGAAACTACCCTCTAAAGCAGGGATAGGCAACCTTTTTGAGCCGGGGGCTGGGTTGCTGTCCCTCAGACAATTGGGGGGGGGCCGAAGCACCAAAAATAAATAATATATATATGTTAAAAATAATTTAAAAAATTAAAAAAATATATGCATACACTCTCTCTCATCCCCAGAAAAGCCATGGCAAAACCCGTGGAGATTTTGCCAAGAAAACCCCAAGAACAAGTAATAACAATAATATCATCATGGCGGGCGGTGGCAGCGGCGGCAGGACCGGCCTGGGGCCGGTCCAAAGGCCTTGGGGGGCCGCATCCAACCCCCGGGCCTTAGGTTGCCTGCCCCTGCTCTAAAGTGCTTTAATCTCTTAAAAGCCAAATCCAAGACTTATACCTTGGAAAGTAGTTATTTTCTGGGAAAGGCATTCAGGTTGCAATATTATGCATGTTCAGCTAGTTAAATATTATGCATGTTCAGCTAGTCACCCTCACTTAAACATTTTCCTTGCATATCTATAAACCGTATCATTAATATACATGAAATGGGAGAAATTTGAGAACTATTTTATAATAGTGAGAAAGTGCCTTTGTCTGTAGCCTGAGAAGTTCTCTTCTAAATGAGAATAAAATCACAAATGGCTGCCCTTTGTGTAAGCTGTTTCTTAGCAACTAGATTAAGCTTACAGGTAAAGGTATTCCTCATTGACAAGGTTGTCAAGTCGTGTCTGGCCATAGGGCATGGTACTCATCTCCGTTACTAAGCCGAAGAGCCAGCATTGTAAGAGGCTACTGTGTAATCATGTGGCCAGCATGACTGTGCAGAATGCTGTTTACCTTCCCACCAAAGTGGTACCTATTTATCTACTTGCATTTGCATGCTTTCAAACTGCGAGATTGGCAGAAGCTGGGACTAGTGATGGGAGCTCACCCATCATGCAGCACCTGGGTCTCAAACTGCTAACCTTGCAATCAACAGAGTCAGCGTCTTAACCACTTGAGCCACTGCATCCCCAGATTAAGCTTACTACGATACAAAAAAGTGGTAGGTATTGGTGGGGTGAGGGAGGTTCTGTTCTGGTAGAACACAAAAAGGAGTTTGCTACATAAATTGGTCACTATATCATTCTGATGCAAAGTAAAGATGAGTACCTAAATATCTGTATTGAAAGCTTTGGCTCAGAAGAAAGGGGCATGATTCACCCTTCTTGATTGCTGTTCCTAACCATGAAGGAATTCATACTGACAGGTAGTGTCTATGTGATATTTCAGCAACAATTTCAACAGCAGGATGAGTCAGTTCTACACACTGTCAATTTGGAAAGTACTCTTTTCTAGCAACATAACATCTGCAACAAACTGCTGGGCAAAACTGGATAGGGTAGTAGTTCCTCCTCTACCTGTCTTATTGGAATCCCTGGGTCATATGCAGGAGCATGTCTTCTTGCCCAGTGGTTACTCATATCTTTACTGCTTGCTTGCCCAAAGAGAGTTGTACAGTTGCCCCTCCAAGTCCACGGACTTGGGGTGATCGCCATTGAAGTGAGTGGGGCTTAAATACACATGAGTATCCTAACTTGGGGGGGGGGGGGGGAGTTGGTCCAAAATATTGTACTGTATTTATCTACATCTATTATTAGTTGGGCAAATGAATTTAGATATATAAGAATGTAATGGACTATACAAAAAGAAGCACCACAGGATAATGGTGATTATGTACCCTATACGCATTACTGACATGGTAATTAACACAAACACACAGAGGCAGTTCATACTTTACTATCTTCACATTTATTGATACAAACTTTTTTCTTCATTAAAATAAAGGTGATCCTGCAATAGCATTTATTACAACAGAAAGCATGTTCTTTAAATGGGTTATCACTCTTATATTGAACATGAGCCTATTTTAAAGGTTGAACTACATTTCCCTCAAAGTGTTTGCAATTTTTTAAAGAGGAAACTTCTGTTAACTATGCTTATGGGGGAAAGAAGCAATGCATGAGGAAGTTTCTCTGCTGTACAGACACACTAAACCGAGGAGACTTGATGTCTGTTCATCCTGATAACCAAAGCATAATTACTTTGTTTACTACTTCCTTAGGATAAATGGGATATGGCAAATTACCTTCATGTTTGGTTTTTGGGCTTCTAGGTAACAAAGGATTCAATGGACTTTTGTGCAATACAGTGAGGCAATTATAGCTTACTTCTAGTGTCTAAAATAAAAAATACATTGCCACATAGCTTGCTTTTAGGTCTGGTGTAGGGGTAGGCAACCTTTCCCCTTTAAGGGCCAAGGGACTTCAGC